AGATAGGACTTGTGTCACTAAAGTTTCGTCGGAACGAATTTACGGAAAATTAACTAACGAACGGAGACGTAACAGTATTTTCATACATGTTTCCATTCGTATTAATGCTGTATATTTTATCTCCTATGCCAGGAAATTACTAAGCGGGTTTTATTTATGTTTTCACTTAATATCTTTGATAATAAGTTTTTTTATTCATAATGTTATATTAAAAATAAATAAATACGTTTTTGGACCACTCTAAATTTGGAATACCGTTTTCTTTATTATATCGTGAATTTGTGTTTTATGACACAAATAGTTTTGAATGAATTATGATTACTAGGCCACTTATGATGAGTGTTGTTGTGACATTTCGTCCCACAGGTTACCATTAAGAGGACCAGCGTAGTAGATTATCTCTGTTTTAGAATGTTATATTATGGGTTATTTATCAGATCTTACGTGATTCTAAAAGTGTTTTATTATCTAAATTGAGCTAAAATGGTTCATGTACTTTGACGACAAGGGTCTAGAAAGTAGTGGTTTCAGAAAAATAATTGTTTACATATAGTTGCTATAGAAACGTCAGGTCCTAAATTTCGGTCATTTCCTAAAATTAAGTGAACGCAGAAATCACAAGTAATTAGTAAATCACTCAATCAAGCTTTATTTAAAGGAGCAAAATGAAAGATAACTTAAAAGTAGCCGTGTTTTGAGAAAACAAGTAAACATGGTTCAAGACATAAGCCGTAAATGCATAACATATTCTTCTCTAGAGGTCAGTGCTAAGTTTCTGGACTTACAACACTAAAATTTGGAGTTAGATTCCATACGGTTGACAGAGCGTAGGTGGCCCATTATGTTCCTTGGAGGGTCTCAAGTAATGTCCGGACTTATGACACTAAAATTAGGTGTCCTAATCCTCGTGGCCCACAGAGAGCATATAGCCCATTGTGTAGCTTTGCGTTAGAAGTGCAACAATAGTATAACATGCTCCAACAAATTCGCTATTAACAACGAACGTGCTTTGAGTAAGAAAGAGATTGGTGAGTATTTAGATTATTTACGTAGTAGATATATCACGACTCCCACCGATAAAACAGCTAGCAACTTTGTTTTCATTTGTAAGCTAGGGTTTAAGTGAAAAAAACATTAAAACCTTCGGGTAACAAAGTGTACAAACACGTTAAAACCCATATACATATTACAGCTTTATCAGACTTTGGAGTACAATCTGTTAAAGCTTACAGTGTACTTCCTAAATTATTTTTGGATTCCAAAACTACATAAAACACCATAGAAATAGAGATTTACAGCTGGGGATAGAAAGCTACCACTAAGGATTTGTCAATTCTGAAATACATTAAAGAGAATTTAAAGAAATGAAGTAGTATTACTGGAGAAACGGCATTAATCCGTTATTTAACATCTGTGATTCTATTCAACATCAAGAGAAAAGTAGAGGCTTTGAAGCTAAAACAACAAAAACTTTTGATTCTAATAACCTTAACACTGGTCTTCCTATTGATAAAGTTGAAAGCTATTTTATCAACAGTTTCAAGATATTTCAATAATTCTCGTAAATTAATGCTTTTTGTTAGCAAACACAGATGTTTTTATGACAATGTCACTCAGAAAAGTGACCATTGTTTTACATTAAATCTTAGATAACACACAAAGAATACTAAATAGTAGTACACAAAAATGGCTACATTATTAACACATAGTAAAACATTTTAAGGTACCCTTTAAATGATAATCATGATAGTAAAAACATATTTATAATGGAAAAGACGAAATTAAATACAGCACAAACACACACACACACACACATATATATACATAAGAAAAATACCTTTACAATCAGATAATATTAATACCCTAATACTTAAATATGAATTTTTTAAAAAAACTCAACTTAACTAAGTAAATCATAAAGTATAAACGAAATAAATTAAAAATAAAGAGATGCCTAGAATATTTACAACACTTCGCCTAAATATAAAATACGAAAATATACATCTACATTCAAATACAGAAATACGTGTAATATTTAATGCCCTTTAAGCTGACTTTTCAAACCCCTGGCAATGAGGAGGGTGGCACTATGGCTCTATGGCAGTTGAAGTTGTCTCTCACCTCTTAATGCCCTTTAAGCTGAATTTTCAAACTCCTGGCAATGAGGAGGGTGGCACCATGGCTCTATGGCAGTTGAAGTTGTCTCTCACCTCTTAATCAAGTACTTCCTCCATAATAAAAAGCCACATAAGTACTTTTAGCTTTTTACTACTCGTTGCCTGAATTGAGATGAAACAGCACTATCATTATCCTCGAACTCGTAAGTCTTATCCTCTGGTTACTGATAAAGCAAGTACACAAGAGGTTAATCAGTGATGTAGGTACAAAACTTGTTGAGATGTTCTCTGCGTCCCCAAAATATGTGGAGAGGTTAAGGTCTGCATTAGTTGATGCCATAAGTTTGCATGTCAACATTAAACTAAAGTTGCCATACATTAAAAGAGGTACTATGACAAGACGGTTAAGGAATGAATGTATTAGCCTGGAGATTGGATGTGGCTTTGGTATGTGTTAGTGGGCACAGAAGCAGCTCAGCTCTGGTTGGACAGGTTTTATCTCGTACTCAAACAGATTGGCCCAGTGACATAGGAATTGCAGTGGTCAAGTAGCATATGGAATTATTGTGGGACATTCACACTAGGAGGAGGACCATACATTATGTCTACAGAGAATAATATTTCCCACCCAAATATGAACATGTTCAGCAAACAGCCTGTGGATCTTTATTCAGTTGCTTCATATGCCATCATGATGTACGACAAATATTTGTCCCCATTGGTTGAGTCGGGATTAACAAATTTGGTAAAAATATGCTTAGTAGTCCATGTTATCCACTCTGCTAAACAATCTCACTGGTGTGGAAAGACAAAGTGCATGTCTTCACCACACTTAATAGTTTACACATCTTAGAGAACAGGTGGCTGTTAAAATTAAATCCTTGATCCATACAAGATCTCAACTGAGTTGATCTGAAACTTCATCCTGAATGAATCAGTTAATTTGGAAATAACTTTTGGGAGGAGTATCGTCAGCCTGATCAATTCACAACTCCATCTGCAACCCATGAAGTAAAATATGCATGCTGTTGTGTTGAATATACATTGTTTTCATTTTGTGTCACACTGTTTGTCCAGTCAATTTATTTTTTACCACAAGCTCACATATTTTAACAGTTTCGTTTCGTTTTGAATTTCGCGCAAAGCTACACGAGGGCTATCTGCGCTAGCCGTCCCTAATTTAGCAGTGTAAGACAAGAGGGAAGGCAGCTAGTCCTCGCCAACCACCGCCAACTATTGGGTTACTCTTTTTACCAACGAATAGTGGGGTTGACCGTCACATTATAACACCCACACGGCTGAAAGGGCGAGAATGTTTAGCGTGACGGGATTCGAACCCGCGACCTTCAGTTTGCGAGTCGAGCGCCACCTGGATATGCCGGGCCCATTTTAACAGAACTCTGTATTACTTTGCAGTGCATCTCGACTAACCTCCCGTCATAAAGCATACCTAATTTACTCTTCCGGCAAATCGGTTTACCTCACTATACCACATTTACATGGCACAATGGCTTCATTGACGGACATGCTATGTTTTAAGACTAAATACACTGTACGTAGAGAAATTTTAACAAATTTTATATTAAATAATGGGTTCGTTCACCAGTGGTAGGAATTGGTGTATATTAAAACAACATGGTAAAATATATTATCAGACATTTGCTAATCTTCGTGTCACAACTAGCCGATATTTGTTTTTATATCTAAAAAAAAAATTGTAGAAAACAGTTATAAAAACTTTTAACTCTTGTAATATCGTAGGATGCCTTATGAAAGAAGTCACGAATAATTAGTGGACTTTCTTGTGTGTTCTGAAAAGTGACTGATAATGTTCAAACTAACTGCTTTTTATCAGGTTTCTTTACCAAACCTTTGTTGTATACCCTACGTGTTTTTTACAATCATGAAGTAACTGCGTGTTATATATTTGGTTTTGATATATTAGATCTGAACTGCTGGATATAGCCGTCTTATGTATTATTTCAGGCTAGTTCTTCTCTTATTTCTTTCACTTTTGGAAGCTAAGTAAACCTGATAATGACGATTTTCTAACCATTAAACTAGGAATGATTATTATTATTATTTTTTTGCTACGTTATTATTATTATATATATCTTAATTTAAGAAAGGGATTTATTATCTGGTAAAAATATGAATGTGAAGTAAGATTTGATTTAACGCATTTATACCATATTTTTGGGGGAAAAGCAATAGTTCATTGATAAATAACTAAAATTGTGGATTTGTTTTAACTCTCAAATGTTCATTTATGCAAACAGCTTCTCTTTTTAAATGCATCTATAGTAATAATAGCTTGCGGCAGTTGGCCTCCAATAGCCTGTGATGTGCATAATTCACAAAGTCGTTTAATTAAAATCACTTGGCAACATGACTGACTACGATCTCCGCAGTTTGACGTCAATTTCTGCACGTGGTAGCAACCCTTTTTTTTAAATAAAAAAAACAAAATTCGAAATATGGAACATATATAAACGGTTTTTATATATTTGTTATGATTGTAATTAATGTGTTTTTATTATTTCTTAAAGTCAGTTACTGTGGTGTTTTCACTAGCATAATATATCATGTATTTATTAGATGGAAAATATAGGTCAGCAACGTTTAGCGCATATATATATATTTTCTAAACAAGTTTCTGATTGGATGGAGTATGGTTTTTAATTGATCTTGAACCAATTGCCAGGACTATAACATAAGCCTTTAGCTAAGAGACGAAGTTCGCTAGAGGCTCATGGGTAACAAAGTGTATTGTCGTACAATAAGGCGGAGGGGTGTGTTAATACCTCGAAAGGTTTACGTTTTTAACTTAGTCAAAGTGTGTTAAGACAGCTATGATGAAAAGCCATATCGCTTTTGCATTATTTGTGATAGCAACATTTTCTAGAGACAGTGCTGGATATGTGGAGGTTGGTAATATTGTTGTTATATCGTTATCTTGGCACATGTGTGACTAACACTAATATCGGTGAATTGTTTTTTCTCATTGGATCTCGGTGTTTCTTTAGACTAAATCTCGCGGTCTTAGGGCAAAGTTAGGCTTAACATAGAGTTGAAACTGTTACTGTTAATCATAATCACCGACGCTGTATCAGTATCATCAGTTATATATATATATATATATTTGTTTTTCAATTTCACCCATTCACTTCTGCTTATAAAAGTCATCACTTAACGAAAGTAACAAATAACAAACATGTTATTGGCATGGATTTATCATGGAAAAAACAACAATAAATTGTTAGATCCTAATTTAAACTTTAAAGTTAAACGCAAGAGAGAGGTTGTTAAATGTGAAATGAGAAAAGTGCAAAAACTGGGTGAGTGATTGCATTAACTTAACTTTTAAGCTCTAAGTTTAGTGTACTTTTGATGAGACTAATCTTAATACTAACAGAGTTATGAAATAAGAGGATCCTGGTGTTCTTGTTCATCAGTCATCCAAGCAGTGCTATTGGTAGGACATTGTTGTAGGAAGCAATTTTGGAGTGGTTGGGCCATTGCCACATTGTCATTTTAGGGTGTTCTGGGGGCATGCCCCCGTCAGAAAATTTCATGTTAAAAGATTGAATCTTGAGCTATTGTAACTACAAATACTGCATATACGAATTTGAATTAAAAGAAGCAAGTTTTAATACATAAGTTGTAGCTATATATGCCATGAAATAATGGTCAGGCCTTCTCCTTACTTCTTCGTACAGCCTTCTAGGACAAATATGATTTTAGGTTATATCTACAGATATATTGAATGTAAGTCTAAAGAGGTTATGACTTCATTATGTAGCATTGTATAGGCCTCATTTGGAGTATTGTGTTCAATCTTGGGATCCTTACCTTGGGAAGAACATTGAATTGTGATAAGAATTCAGAGGAAGATTACTAGAACGATATCTGGGATGGAAAGTGTCATACGAGGAATAGATGGAACAGTTGGCAACTTACCTTTGGTTAGTTTAGGTATGCTGAAAACAAAAGTCCAAAGTTACCAAGCAGGAAACTGTTTAAATGCATAAATTAAATAATTGAGGAAAATGGATGGTTTACATTTCACAAGTATTTTATTTATTATTACCATGAGTTTTTTTTTAAAGTTAAAACATCTTGCAAATGGGTCTGAATATGCTCAACCATAAAAACAGGTTGGGAACCATGACATTCACTTTGGGGAGGAGCTCAGATTAACCTAGTCATTGAGAACTTTGTCTGAATTAGTTTTTAATTTCTTTTTATTTCCAGGTTTTACTGGTTTTTTTTTTGCTTTTTTTCCACAAACATGGTGAATTGTTTCAGTATATACCCGAGATATGGGTGAAACCATGGTAGTATTAAATGAAGTCTTTGTGAAACATTTGGTTGTCTTTGTTTTCCTCAATTCTGTAATTATGATATTTCACCAAATACTGGTGTTTTCATGTATTAGTTATGTAAATCAAAATGGTCACCAAACCATTATTTTAATACCATTAAGCAGTGTTGAGATACTGTTTGTACGTATATAGGCATGTAATGCCTTCTTTTATACTGTGTATACCCATTTCTTTTCCAGTAGTACACTTTTGCATAAACAGACTCCAGTGGTAACAATGTTAAGATAAATGAGAAATGCGAGATGAGTACCATAAGTAGAAAGGTCTGCAATAGTAGAATACCAATTATCTTGTATATGAGAGAGAAGAAGGAATGTGACATTTAACAACACACATGTATGTCAAATATAATAAATGGCCTTTACCAAGGATACATGATATCATGTCTTCTACAAAGTTGCATATATTTGCTTGGATAGTACCTGTACTTTACTAGTGGAAAGTAATTGGAGATCGTCCAGATATTTACGCAGAATGTGAATTATACAAACATAGTGTAATGAGTAATTGATTACAGCTAATTTCCAGCATTGTTCATGAATCAATTTTCTGATTTTCTTAATTACACTGTCATGTACATGGTAATTCTACTTTGTGACGTTTTAAGTGAAGGTTTCTACGTCCTGTGTTACATTGACATCTAATCATTTCCAGACATGGAACTGGAGTATAATGTATTGGTCAATCTCGGCAGTCGTATCATCTAAACTAAACTAAAACTATTAAATGTATTGTTCCTATATGCAGGCCACTTTGGTGACATATGATGTGTAGGTTGTAATTTGGGGGTAGATTATTACTTCAGACTAACTACTAGCTCCATTATTAGTTATTATGTATAAATTATCCACCAACTATGTATAATGTAAGTGGGCCTGTGATGTTTTCATGCGAGTTGAATCAAAATCTTAAAATATTACACATAAATTGGTTTGCATAGCCTATAACAGACTGGTTGCTTAGATAGTGTGCATCATATCTGTAAACACTGTCACAGTAACATTGATTTGGCTTACATTGGAAATAAACACTTACATTATTTCCAGATATTACCTTAACTGTTGCTTGTATATGATATATTGAACTGAATAATTACTGTTGCTGACTACCAGAACTATCATTTAATATATCTAGACAAGTAATATCATTAGTGTAAAGGTTTTACAAAGCTGATAAAATTAGAAATGAAACAAACACATTTATTGTCATGTCTGTGTTGCTTTGTAAGTACGTATTGTAACAAAAGTAGTATGTCATATGTGATGCACCAAATAATTAACTTCTTATTTTAAGCTTCAATTTGCCACCATATTGTCCACAAATGTTATATGAGAGGTACAAAAATAACAATTTGATATCCATTATTAAATTATTTTCACAATAAAATTACTGTTTGGTGACTTGGTAACAGATTTTTCTACATCGGCACCACAGAATTAACCAGAAAAGTCATGTTACCTTACATTTGATTAACGTAATTATGCAGGGTGTTTTTTATCATTTTCTGTCCGATCTAGAAAAGTTTGGGGATCGGTTTAAGATTTTCAAGGAAATTGGTAGTGTTGATGTATCCTCCTTTTTTCATAGTTAATAGCAAAAATGGTAGGATTAAGGAATGTAAATATATATAAATTTTGGCAGTCATCTTCATCTTAGTTTTATTTTTCTAAAAGGGTCGAGGGACTTTAGAATGGGTTACCTTCAGCTGATGTAGATGCAATAAATTTAACGGGATTTAAGAAATAGCTTGATAAATATTTGAATGATAAGGGTTGGTTTTTTTTTTCTTTCGGTATAGTTTAGCAGATGGGACTGTCTAGATGGACCAAACATGTCCTTTGTTGTCCTATATTGTGTAATGTTAAACTTTAGATTAAAATTGTACTAGCATCAGGAAAGGAAGGAAGATATATGTAACCCATAATTCAAGTTTAACCAGTTGACATAACAGCACTTTAATTTTTAGTGGAAGAGGTTCTGTAATGTTGGATATATTTAACCTTTTAAGATTGTGGCAAGATATTGACAACAGTTGTGCAAAAAATCATTCCCAGTATTCTGTATTTGTTTGAAAAGAAAACCCATAATTTCTCTTACCTAAAGTGCAAACATAACACAGAACTTACTACAAAATTATTGATTTCTTAAACAGTTTAATTATACTTTAAAGTAGAATTAGTACATTGTATGAAGCTTATCTAACAAATTGTTTTGGTAAAATGAAGAGAGTATACAGATAGAACGTCCTTTGGTGATTTATTTTGTGTTTATAAGCTGTCCCTTCTTTGGATTTTGTGAAAACTTTTACAGATAGGTTTTCTGCCAAGAAAGAAAAAAAACAAAAAACTAATTCCATTTTCTTTTCCAAGTTTTGATACACTTCAGTGACATTGACACTTTTATACCTGACTAAATATGATCTTTGATAATTCCATTGACACTTTTATACCAAACTAAAAATGGACTTTAATCATTGCACAGTTTTAAGTTCATTTTTGATATGTCATAGAGAAACCTTCAAGGCTTGTTACTGAGTGAAGCTGTAATAAAAGATGTTGATACAAAAGTTATTACCAAGGAAACTATATTTTTGTAAATGTTAATGAAAATATGTTCAGAGAGGAGAGTTGGATTACTCAATAAGACTGAACTTGTACAGAAGTTCTAGTGTAGTTCATTTAACAGTGCACAGTGTTGTAACCAGCTGTTTGTTGTCTTTGGTAAATTGGCTTGTTATAGGAACACATACCACCAAGACAACGGGTGTCATCCGTGTCACACGATGAAAACTCAACAAATTGATTTAGGCTTAAAGTTTTTGTGTAATGTGTAGACTAGAATGTTGAGTTTTAGTTTGTTTAACATTAGACCTAAAAGAAGTATTTCATGTTATTATGCAAAATTTCGAAACTGCTTGACAGCGACACCTGCTGCTAGAATTTGATACTTAACACTTGAACCTTGTTCAGATTATTTATATGTAAACAACATATTAGCCTTTCATCAGTTTTAACTGTTGGTAAAACTTGTTTTATAAAATACATTCTAGGCTCTTGCTGGAAACATAGATGCTTCTTTGAACCACTTCCAGCCAATGGTAGCCATACTCTGTGGCCATGGAAAAGTTTACCGAAAATATCTTAACGAAAATCTTCAGTGGGTTACTAGCAAAGGAAACCAGAAAGGACTTTGTACCAAGGACAAGCTGGAAGTTTTGGAATATTGTCGTAAGGTAATTCAGAGTTACTGTTTTGTACAAAATAATCTTTTCGTTGCTCTTATGAGAATCTTAATTGGTTAGTTTGTATTTTTAGTAGTAGACATTTTGGCTGGTTTTGTTCCATCTCTGTAAAAATTAAAGATGTTTTATAAACAGCATTGCTCTTGTTGGAGTCTTTACCAAGTTTTCAACAACCAACAGAAACTGAAAAATAACATCTTTGACACATTTGTTTTTAGCCGCGACATAGCAGCTCGTATAATGCCAGAGTTTTTTGTTGTTTTTTGAAGTACAGACTTTTAGCTCCTAGCTCCGTCATCTCTTAACCGATTTGAGATCTAATTATAGCTTTGGACTCGGGAAGTCAAACTCTTTCGATGTATTTGACCATGCCCAAGGTCTTATAGATTAATTTACTCAAATCCTCCCTAACAGAATTTTAATTTGAGGGTAAGCTGGTAGAAATCCTGATGAGTAATTAAATTGAATTGGGTATACTAGCACCCCACACTTGGTATTGCTGCCACACAAAAATATAGTTAATAATAATAAAAAAAATATCTCGTAGATTAATTTAATCTAATCCTGCCTGAAAGAATTTCAAGTGCTGCAGCTATTGAGGATTCCCTTTTGTTTAAGGAACTGGTGTACTTTAAGTATTTTTGTATTATAAACAGGAACTGGTGTACTTTAAGTGTCTTTGTATTACAAACAGGAACTGGTGTACTTTAAGTGTCTTTGTATTACAAACAGGAACTGGTGTACTTTAAGTGTCTTTGTATTATAAACAGGAACTGGTGTACTTCAAGTATCTTTGTATTATAAACAGGAACTGGTGTACTTCAAGTATCTTTGTATTATAAATCAGATGGTAGTTTTTGAAAGTTGGTACTATTTAAATAGTTAATCCTGTTTATTGTTGTATACAGATAACTGTTTCAGAAAAGGATTGTAGTGATGCTCAGATTTTAGTTTGTTTGTTATTGACAGGTTTCCTATTGTTTTAAATTTTTCTTTGCTCGGTTCACCAAGATACCATCATCAAACTTGTTTTCTGCTCTAGGCCTATCCAAGTAAGGACATTCGAAACATAGTGGAGTCCAGCCAGTATTACAAGATTGACAGCTGGTGTAAAAATGACCAGAAGAAATGTAAGGAGCCAAGCTGGGTTAAGCCTTACAGATGTTTGGGTATGTATAGAGCGACTTTTCTTATTTAAAATTGCTGATTCTGAACTTCTTATACTAAAACAAATAACGTTAATGCATTTAGAAGTTTATTTAATTTATTTCGTGGTTTTATTGTAAAAATTCATAACTTTGGACAACAAACGGCATGACATTTAAAGATCCAAAGTGAACATGTCTTATGTTGTCATCAGCTAATTCTGGCATAAGACAGGTGATTGTGTGTGTGTGTGTGTGTTTATGTGATGACATAGATGTTGTATTATTATTGTTCATGTTACTTCTAAAGACAAAGAAACAATTTGTTTATTTACTGAATATTACAAACATAAAAGACGCAATGTTAGCAAATTGAGAGCAAATTAGTTATTACTGTTCAGAGTTTCTGCCAAACTATATTTAAGATTGATGCTTTGTAATTTGTATTTAAAGTTTTGCTAAATAGACTTGACAGTCGTGTCTTTTAATGGCCTAACAAATACCCTACTGTAGGTATCCTTTTATAATGTATCCAGGTCTGAAGTAAAAGATAATACAAATAGCACATAAAAACTTTACTGTAAAGTTCAAATTGGATAAATATAAGTTTAATTTAATACATCTAGTTAAGTTTTAACTATACTTATTTTATGAGCATCGTAAAATTCTCAGTTATCGCATGAAGTATCTGTTCTGAACAAAATCAGAATCATTTCTTTATAGTGTAAAGCCAGGACATTGGTTCTAATGGAATGTAAGGTTTGTACAAGCTAACATCTTGTTGATCACCATTGATTGTTATGGTAAATGCCACTGTTCCTGCTCTAGAGCATCAGTTCCTCATTATTTATGCAAGCTTGTAGAAAGATTCCCTTTATTTAGGACAGTGTTTTAGTAAAGTTGAAAATGTAAATTTCCTATGTACTGTATTCATACTGTGGGGATTAGGGTTTTTTTTTGCTTTAGTTTCATTTTTGAGAATGTGATGGTTAATTTCTTTTCATTAGAACTTTCAAGTTTATTATTACAACTACATTCTTGAATAGTGTCTTCCTTCGAGAAGCCGTAGAAATAGAAAAAAATTACACCTACCAACCCTACATTTTGAGTAGCATGTCTGTGGAACCGCATCATTGTTTATGCCTTATTCTTAAACATGATAATTTCTGAATACAAAGACATTAAGTAATGTCTGATGTAACCGTAACATTTACTGTAATTTTATATCATCAATGGAATGAATTAGGTACACAGATAATACGATGTATGTTTGATTTTTCAAGTTACATTAACTGTTATGTAACAAACAGTAATGATTATGAAATATACAGGTTGTCTTATCCTTTGCTCATAAACTCATTTTTTAGGTAATAAATTGGATAATAGTTTGTGGATCATAGGTTTGATTATAAGTGGGAATTTTTTTTAAATCAAATATTGTCATTTAGCTGTCTTTGTAATCATACTGACAAAATTAATATATAAATGTGGTTTGTATTATGAAGACATTACTGTAAGCTTGCTCTCTAGCCAGCTGCATTAAAGGTTCTCTCTCCTTTCTAAATGAAGTAGCTTCCTTGAAGAGATATATTTTTTAGCTGTAGTAGATAGAACTGGATGTGTCTTTTCCCAGTTTTTCCAGACACTGAATCAGTATTTTCATCCAAATAACCTTCCAGGTCTTTTGATAGTCTAGTTTATCAAACTCTGATTCTGTTAGATGTTTTGAATATTTTCTGCTTCTTCAAAATTTTTCTTAGTTTGTTTTTTAAAAGCATTTTCTGTAGAAGGACAGACTTAGAGGGCATCTTGTTTGGAATTTCTCGTCATCTCCTTGACACTTATGAAGTTGTTCATTTGAAGTCTTTTGAATCTGGAATCGAGGAAGGAGCATATATGAAGAAGTAAACTTGTAGTCTTTGTGTATTTACTGAACATCTGGCAGCATTTAGGATTGCATGAACATTCGAAAACATTTCACTCTAAACTTTAGTTCATCATTAATGAATATTATGTAAAGGAAATGAATTAACTTTTTTGTGACCACTTCCTAGAGAATTTCTAATGCTTGTTAAACAATGTTCACCATTTCATATCTAAGCATTGACCCTGTGTGAAGGTAGGGGTCAAAATGTGCATGCCATGGTACCTGGTATTGTGTATTTGATGTCAGAGTTATCAGCTGTACGTTGTACCCTACGTTGCTGGTTTAACGTCAGTTCACGGTAGTAGAGAGTGAATATCAGATACAGTATACAGGAATACTGAAAAATACAGATATACATCTTGGAGGTTCGAGATGTTATGCAAATATAATATGCACATTGTAAGGTGGACAAAAGTATGTTTATTCATCGCATAAACATGTCGACTTGTTAGTCTGAATACTTGACGAAAAAACAATCGCACACTTATTAGCATTGAAATCAACAAATTACGTGTGAAAAATAGAATCCAGAATAGGCACAAATACTATAACTAGCACCCCTCTTTTGTAGTTTTCAGCACCCCCTGGGGTTTTAATTAGGGGCAATATGGTATGCACACGTTTCATGATTTATTTTTTATTATATACTTCATAAATATCTTTTTTAAGAGCTCTTGTTGTACTGTTTTATCATGAACCATTTTAATTATGTATATTTTACTAGAGGGCCCATTCCAGAGTGATGCTTTGCTTGTGCCAGAACACTGTCTGTTTGATCACATTCATAACCAGAGCATCTGCCAGAGTTTTGATGAATGGAACCACACAGCTGCCCAAACTTGTGAAACGAGTGGAATGAAACTTCAGAGTTTTGCGATGCTGTTACCATGTGGTGTAGACATATTTTCTGGTGTAGAGTTTGTTTGTTGTCCTGAAAATGGTAAGTACTGGTAGCTGCTTAGATTTGAAGTTAAAAAAAAAAAATATGTGTTTTGTGTTCTTAACCACTTACTGTTATTTACTTGAGGTATTCAGAACATTTAAATTTCATTTTCTGTCATTCAATAATAAGTTACCACAAAATAGTTTCCACATTGTTTGGTTTTTGATATGTGTGAAACACAAAAAGTAACAAAATCAGGACCCACATAAAATTTCATTCCAATTGTTTTTTAATTATCCTTTAGTAGTGATACAGGCTTTTTTTGTAAGCCTAGTACAGCCTTATTCACAAAACTAATGATTCTAGAAATCATCACAATATGAAAAAGTTACCACTCGTATAATAACAATTTACTAATGTCAGAAGCAATTATGGGGTGAAGCGAAAGTTAGTTACGTTTAAATGTAAGTGACAGTTATTGATCACGTGTCCTGGGGACGATATTAGTGATCAGTATAACGGTAGCGATCAATAACAGTCATAATTTCAAAAGTCTTACACATAAGAAAAAAGCAAGGTAATAATGCTTCTAAGCATAATGTTTTTTGAACCATTTTGGAAAGTTTTAACAGATGGCACAATAACGGTACAAGATTTCATAAATACGGTAAAGTATCGGAGATCTAATACTGAAATTATATCTGGAATGTATGTTTAGGGGTAAGTATTTGAAAACATTTAATTGGTTTGTTTTTTATACAGAGAAACTGCTGTTTCCAGGAAAGAGCTCTAAACTGAGCAATAGTGTTGAGGACGATTCTGATAGTGATGAATATGATGAAGAATACTATGACTATGAAGATGACGACGAGGAAGAGGAAGTATCCTCTACCACCACAACCACCACCACGACCGAAAGCCCTATCGATCATTATTATCGAAATTTTGACACTGAAAATGAGCATCAGGCTTTCAAAGAGGCCCAAAAAGAACTTCAGGAGTCTCATAGGAGAAAAGTGACAGAGGTAATAATCTGTCTTGAAAGTATATGTTTTAGAGATTCTGAAAATTTAAATGTTACTCGAAAATGATTGGCACATTTTTAAAGATGGATGTACCTCGTAGCTTTCGTGTTCCATGTTAAAAAAAAATATTCATTGTGTTTTCTTGTTGCTTACATCAACAATTTTGATATGTATACACGAACACTAGTTTACAGCTTCCTACTGTTTATTAGAGGTGCTGAAAAATGACTGACCAAAAGAATATAAACTTGTTTTAGGTTGCATCGCATAATAAACTTTTTAGGTGCATTCAAAAAAAGTTACCCATAGTTTATAAAATTTCACTTTATTTTTTTCAGATTATGAAAAAATGGAATGAGCTGGAAGAACATTACCAAGAGATGAAGTTGAAAGATCCAAGAGGGGCTGAAGAATTCAAGAAAAAAATGACCGAAGTAAGACTTTCTTATCTTCCTTGTTGAACTCCGGAAATTTAAGTGGAAAGTTTCTTCTAAGTAAAGTAATTAAATTATTAAAAATACAGTGGACGTTTGGACATGTTGAGAAATAAGACATAGAGTAAAATAAGGAGGAAGGATTATTTAGTATGAAACTGTCGGAAAGCACTCGTCAGCCTTACAAAACTAACTGCATAATTATTGAAGACTGAATTAAAATAAATTGATCTGGAATTAATTAGACTGATTACCTTTCAGCTCTTGTATCATAGAGTTTATAGTAATATTTGCTTATTTATAAAGTGAAATGGTACAAGTAGAATTATCACACAATTGTTAAAGCAAGTTAAATGTAGCTCGAATGGCAAAATGTACATTTTGGTCTTTCACACATCTTGTACAAAATCTCCAGCTAAGTCATATATGTAAAGAAATTTGGGAAATTCTGGTTGCAAGTTGAGTATAGTTTTATTGAAAAGTACAGTTGATGTTCTCTTTTAGTTCATAATTTTAGTTTCATATATAATGAAATGTAAGAGAGAACTATCAACGAATTGTGAAAGAGAGGATGTGGCAGGAGGGGTCTGATTTTCTATTCAATAGCTCTGTAACCAAACAGAATTGAAGAATATAAATATTATGGTTTGTTTGATCAGTAACGATTTTATAAACAGTAATTTCGTACATTTTTGAGGGGTGATGGATAAAATAGAGATGATGACATGCTAAGAGAAAATGTGTCGTGGGTCACACTAGTGGAAATTCAGGATTTTTTTTTAATATTCCCTTGTAGAGTTAAGAACTTAACTTGTGTACTATTAAGATATAGACTAATAGCTAAGATTTTATGCTATTCTAATTGGTATAACATAAACAAAAAGTAGTTTAGTAAAACTTTGAATGTAAGACACTAAAACCTTGGATCATGCACAGTAAAGGGTACCCATGTAAATCAGCCCATGTTTTGAATTATTGGCTTTCAAAAAAAAAAATATTTTTGATATATTAGTGTAGTAAATCTATTTAACTATTTGTATTAATCTTTTACAAGAACTTGTAAGTACCTTTAAAAAAAAATACAAATTTAAGACAGTCATAAAATTTCATTTAAATTTTGTGGTGTTTAAAATTTAAGAAAAAATAGCAGATAACTAGTTGGGTTTAAACATGACTTGTACTGAAAAATGGGTTGGTCTAATGAACATAAGGAAGTGTTTTATTCGTTGCACAATCATTCATATTTCAGAAAAACAAGTATTTTGTTGTGTTAAAAAATATATTTGCCTTTTATCTTTAAAATTTTATGTTTCTTGAAAAAAGTATATACATTATCGAGTGTTTTTTTTTTTGTGCATATATATTTGAAGAAATAGAGCTACTAAAATGACAATACAAGGTGGTATTGCATGTTTCTGTATCGTTAAGTATGCAACATTCACGTGTTTGTTTGGTTTAAAGCGTTTTCAGAAAACCGTAGATGCTCTTGAAGAGGAAGGAGACGGACAAAAGCGTCAGCTGAATGCCATGCATCATCAAAGAGTCCTGACAGTCATCACCTTGCGTAAAAAATCGTCAATGGAATGTTTTATCAAGGCTTTGGATGAAACAATTCCAATGGTTTGTTTTATTTTATTTTATGATTTAAAACAAACTATTAATGAATCTAATTGCTCATAAAACACTTGACTTATTTTGTCTTAATACAAAATGGTAAGCTGAAGTTAGAATTTCCCAAATGTTCACATAGTATAAAAATAATGTTGTGTTATTAATCATTACGTAAAAATCTGATTTGTAAATGAATTAAATAAAATTTATAGTAATTACAATTCACTTGGTTCAGACCTTAATGTGTGTTGTACGTGAATAATTACATATCAGCCAACCAGCCCTGGTACTCAGATAAAAAAACACTCGTAATAGACTAGATACAGTAAATCAAATTATCCAGAACAATTATTGCTTTAAAGATAATTTAAAAGTATGTGTTATTGTGCAAGAAGGCTTGCTTACAGGTTTGAATAAAGGTTATGTTGACCCGTAAGGTTTATAGTTATTTAAAAAGTTCTGTGAAGTGGAATTTCAGCAGTAAATTGAGAAAATGTTTAAAAATAATGTAATGCAACTGTATATTGGAAAACTAAGGATATACAACAGTGTTAAAGTTAGCTACACTTATACAGTTGATAACAATTTTACAGCAAATATTCATTCATTAGCTAGCCAGGCCTCATTTTTTTTGTTCAACTTAGGACATGATGGAGAGTAAAACAAAATTTAGCAAAGTAGTGCTTAAAACTTGGCAATGAATAATAACCGTTCACATGTACGATTCTTTTGAAAACTTCAGCTAGAAACTGTTAATCTAGTTTGCTTGGCCTAAAAAAATACCATAGTTTAGACTGCTCTTGTATTGTTGCACACTTTAACACTGTTGTATATCCTTAGTTTAGACTGCTCTTGTATTGTTGCACCCAATTTTGATTTCCTTCCTTTAAGTCTCATGCTCAATCCTTTTTTGGCTGCTCCTTTTCTGTTCACACCTGAGGTGTTTTTGAGTAGATGCTTAAGAGGCTGTAAAAGATATTGAATTCATTAGTGCATTGTCAGTAATGCATGGTTTAGTAGAATTTTTTTAATGGCTTGTTCAGTCTTTTAATTTAATATTTTTTTTTGTTTGAAAAAGTATTTTTTTGACAGCTCGGGTATAACTGTTATTAATCGAATATTTTGTACACCTGTCACTACATTTTCTGTAAAATATTAGTTATTAAATTTTGGTGTAGTTTAAGTTTTGTTTAAATTGGTAATTTATGCCTTTGGGAGGTCAAGGAATTTTATTTCCCATGTAACCTGTGCGCAAATTGTATTTAAAAGTGGACTTTGCCTGAATAGGGTCTCAAAGTTTTAGTAACTTAAGTGTGTTCATGAAATGTGTAGGATGAAGTATTTTTGCCATGGGAGAAGGGGTGTATTTGATTTTTATGCAAAGTTAAAAGGTACAAGGTGTAGAAGTGGTAAATATTCAGTCGTATGTAAATGAAAAAGGCATATGTAAATTGAACTTTATTGAAATCATTAACTTTTATAACTATTTTTTTTTTAATTTTGTCACTGTCAATTGTTATATTGTGTAGGTGAGGAGGATTGAAAAGTGTTTATTAAAGTTGTTGCGAGCTGTGGCCAAGGACAGAAACCACATGCTACATTACTACTACCACCTTCTTAACAGCAACTTTAAGCAAGCAGTTGCTGAGAAAGAAGCTGTTCTGGATCACTTGGAAAACCTGAACCACATGGCTAACCAAAGCATCCTGATGTTGGAACGTCATCCTTCTGTTGCCGAGAAGCTGCACAAAAGAATGAGTAAGAACTACGCATTGGAACTTTAAGTGCCTGAGTAAACTCTTATCCAAATTTAAGGCTTAGTGACAGAATTGGACAGAATCATGGAAAATTATGTATTTAAATAAATGTACTAAAGTTAGATTACAGAAATGAGAAAAATGGTGTATACATTGTTTAGTTACAAAAGGTGGTGGTTTTTTTTTTTATTCCAATTTTTTAAGCTTAAAAGATCTTATCAACTAGTTGCACTGAATACAAGTATGGAGAATTCTTCAGTAAAGCAGGGTATTTACTATGTCGTCATATGGGAATTGTAATAAAGTTATCACATGTTTTCTTTTCAATGTGTACACACTCGTACTCAGTTAAATAATATGATAGGGGTCCAAGAAGGTTAATTATATCAGAATTTAATACTTCATCTGTTAATGGAGCCCGGCATGGCCAGGTGCTCGACTCACAATCTGAGGGTCGCGGGTTTGAATCCGCATACCACCAAACATGCTCGCCCCTTTCAGCCGTGGGGGCGTTATAAT